CAGTATAGTAATATTTAATACTGATATTGTACTATGCTAATAATATAATATATTGTATGTATATATGGTGCCATGAAAACCGAATTCCTGCATCGCGAAAAGATGCATGTCTGAAAAGTGTGTAACCAACATGGAAAGTTTGGACAGCTCTGGTATAAACTGGAAAAAAAAAAGACGTGAGTGAGAGAAACCCTTTGCAGAGAAGAATGCTGACAGTTTGATATTCTGGAAAACCCCGTTAGGAAACAAGTGAGATTCCAAATCCATGTGGTCATGGCAATTCTTCCTGCTAAATATACCCTTCTGAGAAAGCCAAGTGTCCACCAGCAAAATGCCCTGGGGCTTTCAGCAGAAAGTTTGACATTCCCCTCCCATGTTTGCTAATTCCTGGTTAGTGTAAGCTCCAGGCCTTTGGTCGGGATTCCTTCCTTCCAAGGAGCGCTCTACATCTCCCAATTCCCAAGCCACCTACTTTGGGACGGAGGCAGTTAAAAGTCCAGTGTGCGGCTTATCTGTCAAGGAGTGGGTTTGCGCCGGATTTCAGCCCTGATTCCTTGTGGGTTCTGTGCCAGCCAAGTTCCCCTCATTACGTTCTGTACCATAAACAAACAGCTTAACTGGTCCTGTAAATTAGATTTGTTCTTTTGACAATTTTATGTGCTGCTGAAATATCGCCAGAGGAGAATGTTTGTTCCTTCTCTCGGTGTATTAAGCTTCAATTATTGCATGTTCCGAGATGTAGATGGTTGTTTTTCCTCTGCCGCTCCCTTTCCCCTCCAGCGATGTGGGGATTACGGTCTCTGGCCATCATCCGTCGCATCTGAAAGCAGACTTCCGCTAGTAATTAATAAGTCTCCAATCATCTCTCTGCAGCCAACAACCCGGGCCTTTGAGGGTAAGGGGTGACATGGCATTGCAGCTTCGGCAGGGGCAGGGAGAGTTGCTGCTCCATTCACCCAAAGTATGAGGTGCTTTGTACTACGGCGCTGGAGACCAAAGTTCAGATCCCTCCCACTTATGGAAACCCATTTTCCGTGAGTCATGCTCTCTCAGCCCCTGAAAAAGCAAAGGCAACCCCCAATGAAGACATACAATAACAACAAAATTCTGTGTGTGTTTTGTTATTTGGAAAGGCTTTGAAATGACTATTTTTATGGGTTGTTGTAAGTTTTTTCGGGCTGTATGGCCATGTTCTAGAGGCATTTTCTCCTGACGTTTCGCCTGCATCTATGGCAAGCATCCTCAGAGGTAGTGAAGTCTGTTGGAACTAGGAAAATGGGTTTATATATCTGTGGATTGAACAGGATGGGGCAAAGGACTCTTGTCTGTTGGAGCGAGGTGTGAATGTTTCAACTGACCACCTTGATTAGCATTTGATGGCCTGGCGGTGCCTGGGGCAATCTTTTGTTGAGAGGTGATTAGATATACTTGTTTGTTTCTTCTCTGTTGTTGTGCTGTTGTAATTTTAGAGTTTTTTAATACTGGTAGCCAGATTTTGTTCATTTTCATGGTTTCCTCCTTTCTGTTGAAATTGTCTACATGCTTGTGGATTTCAATAGCATTTTCCTAGTTCCAACAGACCTCACAACCTCTGAAGATGCTTGCCATAGATGCAGGCTAAACGTCAGGAGAAAATGCCTCTAGAACATGGCCATATAGCCCGAAAAAACATAAAACAACCCAGTAATTCCAACCATGAAAGCCTTCGACAATAGATATTTTTAATATTTTATCTGATGTTTTTGATTGTTTGTGTTTTTATCTGTAATTTTTTGGCCTTGTCCCTTGTAAGCCGCCCTGAGTCTCTGCCTGGGGGAGATGGTTGGCGGGGTATAAAAATAAAGTTATTATTATTTACTTGCTTACTTAGGTGATCCCTTGTTGTCCGAGTAGCATAGTCTTCCAAGATCAGTGTCCTGTTGGGTCCGGAGGTGACTGTGGAGCCCTATTCTTGATCTGCATCTTCTCCCGCAGTGAGGACATCAGTTTCCAGAGCTCTGTTGGGGTTGGCTTGACGCGCCTTCCTTTTGGCACATTTCTCTCTTTCACCCTCCATTTGTTCCTCTTCATATTCTACAGCACTGGTGGTCACAGCATCTTTAAATCTCTTTTCCTGCCCAACAACATTCCATTTTCCGTACTTGAGTTCGGAGTAGAGCAACTGCTTTGGGAGACGGTGGTCGGGCATCCATAGAATCATAGAATCAAAGAGTTGGAAGAGACCTCGTGGGCCATCCAGTCCACCACCCTACCAAGAAGCAGGAATATTGCATTCAAATCACCCCTGAGAGATGGTCCTTCCGGTCCAGTGGAGTTGATGGCGGAGGACCATCGCTTCAGTGCTGGTGGTCTTTGCTTCTGACATTTGTCCGCTTGTCTTCCCAAGAGATTTGCAGGATTTTTTGGGGCAGCGCTGATGGAATCGTTCCAGGAGTTGCATGTGACGTCTGTAGACAGTCCACATCTCGCAGGCATATAGCAGGGTTGGGAGGACAATAGCTTTATAGACAAACACCTTGATCTCCCTATGGATGTCCCGGTCCTCAAACACTCTCTGCTTCATTCGGAAGAAAGCTGCACTCGCAGAGCTCAGGCGGTGTTGAATTTCAGTGTCAATGTTGACTTTGTTGGAGAGGTGGCTGCCAAGGGAGCGGAAATGGTCAACATTTTCTAATGTTACATCGTTAAACTGTATCTCTGGCATTGAAGAGGGATTGGCTAGTGACTGCTGGAAGAGTTGTTGTTGTTGTTGTTATTGAAATGCACCGGTATTGCTCTTCTGTATCTGGAGGTTCTTTTGGAGCTGACCTCATCAAGTTCAAGATCATCATTTTGCACCATCACAAAGCTTTCTATATAGTAGCTTCATACCCTTCTGTAAGTTAGTCCCCAAAAGTAACTTTTCTAGTCTCTGTTGGTGAGGAGGTATCACCTGAACATCTAAACCTTATTACTGGCAATGTGTTGTTGAAGGCTTTCATGGCCGAAATCACTGGGTTGCTGTGAGTTTTCCAGGCTGTATGGCCATGTTCCAGAAGTATTCTCTCCTGACGTTTTGCCCACATCTGTGGCAGGCATCCTCAGGGGTTGAGAGGTCTGTTGGAAACTAGGCAAGTGGGGCTTATATTATAATAATAATAATAATAATAATAATAATAATAATAATAATAATAATAATATAATAATTGTCTTTATATTGCGCCACCATCTCCCAAAAGAGACTCAGAGCAGCTTACAAGGCACTACACTTGTCATGTATATCATAAACGGTACATGAGTATAAAAACCAATATACCTGTGGAATAATGTCTAGCGTGGAAGAAAGAACTCTTGTCTGCTTGAGGCAAGTCTGAATGTTGCAATTGATCACCTTGATTAGCATTGAATAGCCTTGCAGCTTCACGTCTTGGCTGCTTCCTGCCTGGGGGAATCCTTTGTTGGGAGGTGATTAGCTGGTCCTGATTGTTTCTTGTCTGGAACTTCCCTGTTTTTGAGTGTTGCTCTTTATTTACTGTCCTGATTCTGGAGTTTTTTTTAATACTGCTAGCCAGATTGTGTTCCTTTTCATGGTTTCCTCCTTTCTGTTGAAATTGTGCACATGCTTGTGGATTTCAGTGGCTTCTCTATGTAGTCTGACATGGTGGTTGTGAGAGTGGTCCAACATTTCTGTGTTCTCAAATAATATGCTGTGTCCAGGTTGGTTCATCAGGTGCTCTGCTATGGCTGACTTCTTTGGTTGGAGTAGTCTGCAGGACCTTTCATGTTCCTTGATTCGTGTTTGGGCGCTGCGTTTGGGGGTCCCTCTGTAGACTTGTCCACAGCTTCATGGTACACGGTAGACTCCTGCAGAAGTGAGAGGATCCCTCTTGTGCTTTGCTGAACGTAGCATTTGTTGGATTTTCTTAGTGGGTCTGTAGATAGTTTGTATGTTGTGTTTCCTCATCAGTGGTCCCCTTGATATATGGTAAGAACACCTTTCCTCTGGATGGATCTTTGTTTTGACTCTCATGGCTTGTTCTTGGCCTTGCAGCTCTTCTGATGTCTGTGGCGGAGTCTCCATTGGCCTCTAGAGCCTGTTTAGGTGGTTCCATTCACCTTGGAGGAGGTGGGCTTCACAGGAGGTGGGCTTTGCTTTTTGCACAGTCTGCCAGAGCGTTTTTGACTTTAGTGATGGTTGGAGTTTTTATGTAGGTATCTGTCCATGTTAGAGCCCCCGGTGGCACAGCAGGTTAAATCACTGAGCTGCTGAAATTTATGATCAAAAGGTTAGTGGTTCAAATCCTGGGAACGGGATGAGCTCCTGCTGTTAGCTCCAGCTTCTGCCTATCAGGTTGAAAACATGCAAATGTGAGTAGATCAATACATACCGCTCCAGCAGGAAGGTAACGGCGCTCCATACATGCTGGCCACATGACCTTGGAGGTGTCTGCTGACAACGCTGGTTCTTCAGCTTAGAAATGGATATGAGCACCAACCCCCAGAATCAGACACAATTAGACTTAATGTCAAGCGGAAATGTTTACCTTTACCTATCTATCCGTGTGTGTAGGTTTTCTGCAAACAACCTGGAAAACCCACAGCTACCGAATTATTAATGTCACTAAGGAATATCGAGACTCTTTTCCGATCTGCTTGGATTATAATAGGCATCCTTTATTTCAGAAATGTAAAACAAGGAAGAGACTACAGACGAAATAGCTATCTTTTTCCCTGACAGCCTCTGTACCGTTTTGGTTTTATTGTATTGATCGGAAAGGAAGGATCTTTTCCAGCCTTATCAGAAAACTGGGGAAGGCTCTAGGCGAAGGGACTACAGACTTTGATGTCTGTAGTAAACATTCAGTACCGAGAAGGAAGGGTGAAATGTTCAGTCTCTAGTAAAGGAGTTGATGGCATTTTTTCTTGTTCTTTCTGCCTACCTTTGATGCATCTTTGAAAACTCGAGGCTCTCCCTGTGATTATGTTTTCCCCCCTTTGAAAAGCTCTCTTTCTTTCCACAGATTACCTTGCGAATCACGGCCGTTTGAGCGAGTCAGAGGCCAGGCGTAAGTTCTGGCAAATCCTCTCTGCGGTGGAATACTGTCATGGCCGGAAGATTGTGCACCGCGACCTCAAAGCTGAAAACCTCCTGCTTGACAACAACATGAATATTAAAATTGCAGGTATTCAAAAGTCTTCTTTTATTTTTCAGCTGAGGCCTGGGTTTAAGTGGTATTCTCCTCCAAATAGTCTTTGCTAACTTCCTTGTGGTTGCTTTAACCCAGGCATGGGCAAACTTTGGCTTTCCAGGGGTTTTGGACTTTGACTCCCACAATTCCTAACAACCTCAGTCCCTTTCCTTTTCCCCCTCGGCAGCATCAGTCTCTTTCCTTTTCCCCCTCTGCAGCCTCAGTCCCTTTCCTTTTCCCCCTCAGCAGCCTCAATCCCTTTCCCCCTTGGCAGCCTCAGTCCCTTTCCTTTTCCCCCTCAACAACCTCAGTCCCTTTCCTTTTCCCCCTCGCAGCATCAGTCTCTTTCCTTTCCCCCCTCAACAACCTCAGTCCCTTTCCTTTTCCCTCGACAGCCTCAGTCCCTTTCCTTTTCCCCCTCGGCAGCCTCAGTCCCTTTCCTTTTCCCCCTCGGCAGCCTCAGTCCCTTTCCTTTTCCCCCTCAGTAGCCTCAGTCCCTTTCCTTTTCCCCCTCGGCAGCCTCAGTCCCTTTCCTTTTCCCCCTCAGCAGCCTCAGTCCCTTTCCTTTTCCCCCTCGGCATCCTCAGTCCCTTTCCTTTCCCCCTCGGCAGCCTCAGTCTCTTTCCTTTCCCCCCTCTGCAGCCTCAGTCCCTTTCCTTTTCCCCCTCAACAGCCTCTGGCCCTTTCCTTTTCCCCCTTGGCAGCCTCAGTCCCTTTCCTTTCCCCCCTCAACAGCCTCAGTCCCTTTCATTCCCCCCCTCGACATCGTCAGTCCTTCTTTTTCCCCCTCAACAGCCAGTCCCTTTCCTTTTCCCCCTCAACAGCCTCATTCCTTTTCCTTTTTCCCCCCTCGACAGCCTCAGTCCCTTTCCTTTTCCCCCTCACAGCCTCAGTCCCTTTCCTTTTCCCCCCTCAACAGCCTCAGTCCCTTTCCTTTCCCCCCTCAACAGCCTCGGTCCTTTCCTTTCCCCTCTCAACCTCAGTCCCTTTCCTTTCCCCCTAAAAGCCTCAGTCCCTTTCCTTTTCCCCTCAACAGCCTCAGTCCCTTTCCTTTCCCCCCTCAACAGCCTCAGTCCTTTCCTTTCCCCTCTCTGCAGCCTCAGTCCCTTTCCTTTTCCCCCTCAACAGCCTCTGGCCCTTTCCTTTTCCCCCTTGGCAGCCTCAGTCCCTTTCCTTTCCCCCCTCAACAGCCTCAGTCCCTTTCATTCCCCCCCTCGACATCGTCAGTCCCTTTCCTTTTCCCCCTCAACAGCCTAAGTCCCTTTCCTTTTCCCCCTCAACAGCCTCAGTCTCTTTCCTTTCCCCCCTCACAGCCTCAGTCCCTTTCCTTTCCCCCCTCACCTCAGTCCCTTTCCTTTTCCCCCTCGGCAGCCTCAGTCCCTTTCATTTCCCCTCGACATCCTCAGTCCCTTTCCTTTTCCCCCTCAACAGCCTCAGTCCCTTTCCTTTTCCCCCTCAACAGCCTCAGTCCCTTTCCTTTTTCCCCTCGGCAGCCTCAGTCCCTTTCCTTTTCCCCCTTGACAGCCTCAGTCCCTTTCCTTTCCCCCCTCGGCAGCCTCAGTCCCTTTCCTTTTCCCCCTCAGAGCCTCAGTCCATTTCCTTTTCCCCCTCAGCAACCTCAGTTCCTTTCCTTTCCTTTTCCCCCTCAACAGCCTCAGTCCCTTTCCGTTTCCCCCTCAGCCACTTAAACAGCTGAGGCTGTTAGGAATGGTGGGAGTCGAAGTCCAAAACACCTGGAGGGACAAAGTTTGCCCATGCGTGGTTCAACCTGTGTGCATTGTGCTTAATGCAAAATATTTGGCACAGCTCCCTTCCTCTTTCAAGCAATCCCTTCTTATGTTTCTTTCTTTTCTCTTCTTCAGAAAATTGACACTGGTTTTGAGGGTTTTTTATCAATTTTCTGTGTGTGTCGTGACAACAGATTAGCGCTGCCAGATGTGCAGGTTACAATCAAATTAATCAAATAATTCCCCAGTATTAAAGGGAGGCGCTCAAAATGGAAGCTCCCTGGTTTATTTTAGCACGCTTGGTTTAGTTCTAATTACACATTTAGACACAGCAGATGTTCCTTGCAATGGGATAATTTTCTCTTCTTTTTTTTGGCCTCGGTATAATGTGAAAAACTCATCGGGTCCTCAGAGCAGATTTTCAAAACCGAGGGATGCTCAAACGTTTTGAAGCAGCTGAGCCTTCTTGGAATAATAATAAAAAGATCTAGCAACACTTCCAGAGTTGCTGTGAGTTTTTCGGGCTGGGTGTGTTTGGGAAGCATTCTCTCCTGACGTTTTGCCCACTTCTGTGGTAGGCATCCTCAGTGGTTGTGAGGTCTGTTGGAAACTGGGCAAGTGAGGTTTATATATCTGTGGAATGATGTCCAGTGTGGGAGAAAACTCTTGTTCGCTGGAGGCAAGTGTGAATGTTGTAATTAGCAAGCTTGATTAGCATTGAATGGCCTTGCAGCTTCAAAATCTGGCTACCAGTATTAAAAGGCTTTTAATTCACGACAGCAAATAAAGAACAACTCTCAGAAAACGGGATTTCCAGACAAGAAACAATTCTTTCCCCCCCTCGACCATTGGCCAGCTTGATTAGCATTGAATGGCCTTGCAGCTTCAAAGGTTGGCTGCTTCTTGCCTGGGGGAATCCTTTGTTGGGAAGTGTCAGCTGGCCCCAGTTGTTTCTTGTCTGGAACTCCCCTTTTTTCAGAGAGTTGTTGTTTATTTGCTGTCGATTCCTCCAGGCAGCAACAGCCAGGCTTTGAAGCTGCAAGGCTATTCGATGCTAATCAAGGTGATCACTTGCAACATTCACACTTGTCTTATGCAGACAAGAGTTCTTTCTCCAACCCTGGACATTCCATAGATATATTGTTTTATACTCATGTACCATTAATGTTATACTTGACACTTGTAGTGCCCTGTGAGCTGCTATGAGTCCCTTTTGGGAGATAGTGGCGGGATATAAATAAAGAGGATGATGATGATGATATAAACCCCACTTGCCTAGTTTACAGCAGACCTCACACCCACTGAGGATGCCTGCCATAGATGTGGGCGAAATGTCAGGAGAGAATGCTTCTGGAATATGGCCAGACAGCCCGGAAACCTCACAGCAACCTAGTGATTCCGGCCATGAAAGCTTTCGACAACACAACTCTTCCAGACTTTCTTAAGTTTCACAAAAGTCATACTGAGAGGGATGAGAATATTGAGCATTTCCTTGGGTAGGTGTCAACAATGATCAGGGAAGGAGAAAGAAGGAAGGAAGGAAAAAAGGAAGAAGGAAGGATGGAAGGAAGGAAGGGAGGGAGGGAGGGAGGGAGGGAGGGAGGGAGGGAGGGAGGGAGGCTGGAAAGAAAGAAGGAAGGAAGGCTGGAAAGAAGGAAGGAAGGCAAGCAAGAAGGAAGGATGGAAAGAAAGGAAGAAGGAAGGAAGGAAAGAAAGACAGACAGACAGAAAGAAAGATGGAAAGAATCAAGGAAGGAAGGAAGGAAGGAAGGCTGGAAAGAAAGAAGGAAGGAAGGAAAGAAAGAAAGAAGGAAGGATGGAAAGGAAGGAGGGAAGGAAAGAAAGAAAGAAAGAAAGATGGAAAGAATTAAGGAAGAAAGGAAGGCTGGAAAGAAAGAAGGAAGGAAAGATGGAAAGAAAGAAAGAAGGAAGGAAGGAAGGATGGAAAGAAAGAAAGAAGGAAGGCGGGCAAGCTGCAGTCAGTTCTGCTTGTTGCAGACATCCCTCTCCTTGATTACAAGAATCGCTTTAGAAAATGAATAGTGCTGGAATCAAACGCTCCCAGGAAACTGGAACATAATGGATTGTGCCAGTACAGAGAAAACGCACCCAGCTTGGCCCATATATTGATGAGTGTTAACGGCGGAGGGATTCCTCCCTTCCTTTAGAAATGGTTCCCTTCTTTACCGTTGGCAAACAGTGCGCTTCGAACACCCATGCCAATAAATCCCACGTGATGGATGTTGGGCAGGGGAAATGGGTTGCCAGTGATGTATTGAGCAACAGTTTAGTGAAAATCAATGGGCGATAAAGCTCTGGAGCACTAAATCTTAATACTGAAAGATTTGGAGGAAAGAATGACGCAACGTCAGTGGCTGCTTATGAGGATATCGGAACATATTTTTCAGTTACAGGAGAGGGCTTTCTTTCTTTCCTGGTTTACCTTTGCAGTAAATTAGATCACGAACAGACAAAGCAGAGCTTGTGCACTGTCTTTTCCTGATGTGTTCCCTTAGAATATCTCTGACCTTTTCCTTCCCTGCTGTGATGAGTTATGCATTGGAAAGCAGAAGCTGGGAAAGGGGAAGTGTTTTGGTTTCTCACAGTATAGCATTTGCAGTTTGAGCTAAAATGGGTTTGTGTCCCCAGGTCGTCTTTTTGGACATCTCTTGAGGGCAGGAACAAAAAAAGAGGGGAAAAGACAACCTTAAATCCTTGACTATTTAAGCAGTAGCGTTGTGCAGTTCGGACTCGCTTTGTAGCATTAGTCAATTTGGTTCGCGAATCAAGTCATAAATGCTTCCGGCATCCTTTTGGGCATCATTATCTCCTTGCATTCTCCCCCATATTGTGCCTCAAATAGCTGAACTATGGAATTAGCTGGCATACAAATGGTTGCAAATTTGGATAGCTTTGAAAAGGGGGACTGGATTGATTCATGGAGGATCATTGATTAGTACCCAAGATAATTATGTGCCACATCTACTATGAAAGCCAGTATGTTTCTGCATATTGTGGAGCTGGCTGCTGCATTGACAAAATGTGAGACTAGGTAGGCCTTGGTCTGTTCCTGTTGCAAATGTGGATGATATTTTGACTTATTTCTGGTGCTCGTTGTTCTCCGTATCCTCTAAGGTTACATCATAGGTGAAGAAATGACATGGAAATGCTGCATACTCAATCACAGTGTCCTAGAGAAAAAGATATTTAAAGATGGGCTCAAAGCCAAACTTAAAAACTGTGGCATAGACACCGAGAACTGAGAAG